GGTGAGGTATGCATTGTAGTTTCAACTCGATCAGAGGACTTGCGACTGACTCATATCCTCAGTTTTTTTCTTCAATGGTGCATGTTGCGTAGCTTTCTGATTATGCACATCTTGCAACAAAAAATTGTGAGATCAAGCCATGCAGTCTTGCTTGCTTTCACCACTGGATACTTCATTTTTAGGACTCAGGTTTGTTATTTTATGAAGCTTTTACTTTAGAAGCTATGATTTTGTGTTCGTTTGCCTGCAGTGACACGAGGGCATTGTAGCTATTTTTGACTTGGATCATTGGTCGGTGATGCTTTTGATGACTCAATGAGTGATATGATTTTCAAGCGTTTTTGAGCCCTGTTGGACGAGCTGGGATTTGCTGGCCCCGAGAGGTTTGCCTACCCTAGCATGCCCTGTGATACTTGAAGTTTTAGCAGCCAAATTTTCCGCATTTTTACACATGCTGTAACGACCATGAATGGTAATGCAGTCTGTTTTAATGCAGCAAGGCCAAGTCAACCAAGCATTTGCATTGGATTGTGTAAAAGTGAGCCTGGAAAGTGTGCCGAAAGACGGTCATTCTATTGGAATAATCTGAGACCTTGCACAGCCTAGGTATTGTCCCACCGCCCTCGCACACGTGGTTCTGAAGATCGGAAAGAGGGTGATATATACTAACACCCCAACTGATTGCTGGTCTACCGTGGGTCACATGAACGTATGCCTGATGACGTTCACCTGATCTAGTTTTAGGCGAGATGTCTGATGTCGCCTCTCGCTCGGCACCGTCGTGTTTACATTCCGGGGCACGAGGCGCCGAGAGGTAGAAGGCCGGTCTGGCCCCGGTCGTTCTTGCCGTCTTCCAGCGAGACAGAGACAGAGGCTCTTACAGAGACGGTCAAAGTGGTTGTGGCCGGTTGTGAGACTCGCCACAGTCTTCCGATGGATGAAGTGGTACATCAACATGACCATGTTGCATAACAAAAGGCGTACAAAGGTTTGTTTGTCTGCCCTGTGTCTACCTACGCGATATTCGACCTCATGATAATGGTAACGGAGCCATACAAGCTGTGCGGTTTTCGAGGGGTCACAATGTGAATGGATATTTTTGGTAACATATCCGTTGGATGAAAGCAGTCGAAAGTGCAAAAGTATGCATTGCCCACATCGCATTATGACATTTCAAGATTTAATATTCTTCACCTTTGCGTTTTGGCCTTTTCACCTCGTAGAACATTTCGTGACGGGAGATAACACGATGGTCGAATAAATGTGCATCCTAAAGGCTGTCAATGGAATCTCATAAGTAAGTTTTGCATTTCGGAATACTCAAGAATGAAAGGATTTGAAATGATAAAACATATTTCGACGCATCAAACGTACTACATTTTGGTGTTCGATAACTTAAACCTCAAATGTATCAAAGCAAATCACTGCATATTTTACCTCAGCGCTATTTAAAGGGCCGTCAGGTTTTGTTGTCGAAAGTTGGCTTGTGAACATCCATTTAAAGCTGGGAAAATGTTCAAATTTATGGTCCTGCAGCCAGGTATTGCAACCTACAGAAAACCCCTGCATGCTGAAGTAAATACTCTTTAAAGAGTCTGTTGAAGGGAGAGTGCCACATTCTTTGTTCAAATATGAGCGTAGTGGGGGGGGGGGGGGGGCCGGAGGCGCTAATCATGTACCCAAACTTTAAGAGTTTCCGCAATCACCATGTGTATTAAAAGCAATATCATACTTTGTATACAGGAACAGTACGCCATCAGTTATCAACGTCACTCAGTGATGAAAGAACTGTGGTCCACGCCGGTCCATGGCACGTCCATCCGTACCGACCCTCCGTGTCAAGTTATTCGTCACCCGCGAGTCGATGAAGGTGGTGGCAGTTTGCGGGCGGAGTTTCGGCTGCTTCGCGGAGCGAGGTCGCCAGCCGGCCCCGTGCTCATTTCGCTCGATCACACGCCAGAATCCCTCTATTGGGAGTACCTGGGAGGCACGTGGGGAGAGTTTCTCGCGTCCACCATGCGTACGTTAGCGTCGCGCTGCAGCTGGGTCGTCCCGCTGCCGCAACGTGCAGCCAGCAGGGCCGGCCAGAAGACCAAGTCGCCGGTCACGCAGCACCGGTGTAGAGTGGGTGGCGGCACCTCCTTACATGCAGCACTGCTCTCGGCAAATAAGTCGTCTTCATTTTGAGTCATGAACTAGGCTTCGTACATAATTCACGTCGATTTTGTTACGACTGGGGCATATCACATGAAAGTGAATCAAGCGGAATGGCGACCCAGGCGGGTATTTCCTGTGGGAACCTCTTCTGAGAGCGGAGCCACACATCGCCAGTAACGTCTTCAGCTGGGCCGACCTAGAACCCTCGTTCGCTGGTACGCCAAGCCCATGAAACATGAAGGGCATTTTATCGTCCATGACGACGTTTACGTCCATGGGCACAACCAGCAGCAAGTGAATTAGATGTCGGATTCAAGTTTGTGACGCACACCAGGTTTTTCAGTAGTTTTTGTACGCATGCTCAGCTGGTATGGAAACTGACCAGTCAAAAAACACATAGAGATATCCCGGCCTTGTTCACTGCCTAGCGCGTCAGTTATCACTCCTTTGCTGACTACGGCCACTTCTGGGCTGCCGCTGTCCGCCGGGCAGGTCGTCCGCCGCGCCGCGTTTTGTTGGAGCTGGGGTTCCCCTCATTTCGTGGCAGTTAACAATATAATATACTGCTGACTTTGTTATTCCAGTCTCAGCTAGGTGTCACATCAAGTCCGCCCTTTGTCAGCGTTGTTTTTTTATGTGTCTCGCTACCGAAACTATAGTATGGTGCCGGAACTCCTCGACACGATGAGTAAATGAAAAGTGGAATAATATCGTCTGATGTGCTCATGCTCAACATAATATTTTTCGTTGATGTAACCAAGAAAAGCCTTGAGCCTCTGGCCTTTCAGCATTTTGAGTTTTGGGTTTTCCGTGGCAATAATCGACCTTAAAAATTCACGAGATGGTGTTCAAGATCACAAATCATCACGAGCACAACCCGAAACGTTGAATTTCGTCCATATCGCCATTGCTCACTTAGTAACGTTGTTTAGCCGGTGCCTCCTGGCATACTGAAAGACATCGTGGACAGAATAAGAACTCCTGACAGTAGCAGCTTAGCAGGGGAAGTGCTTATGCGGACAAATTGCTGAGGCATCACAGTTTGTTAGTTTGTACCCAAAATTGGTGTAGATCTGTTATATGCATCTGCCACGATTAGCTGTGTACAATGCAGCCTTTAAACCGTTTTCTATGCATCTTCAATGACTCAGATTTTTCTGTCGAAAACATGATTTTCTCAAAGCTATTTCGTCTGTTGGAAACTTGAGTTTTGTTCGCACACAATTTGATGTGTTTAACAGCATCCGATTTGGTTTTACAGATCTTAGTTCAACACGGTTTTCAGTAGAATTTGTGATCAAATTGTTCCTGTAGTAACTGGTATGAACGTCTGTAGGGTCTGATGCGGTCTTTGGAGAAGATCGTTGTTTTACGATTTGGATGGAACATCTTGCAAAAGCCACAACACGCTCTGTTGTCTTGAAACGCCAAAATCAAATGCGGTTGAGTCAAACCTTCGGATTGCATCCCGCAAAACAACAGTACAGGGGGTTTGGCGTCGACGGTACAGGGGGTTTGGCGTCGATGGTACAGGGGGTTTGGCGTTGATGGTACGGGGGTTTGGCGTCGATGGTACGGGGGTTTGGCGTCGATGGTACGGGGGTTTTGCGTCGTCGCTGTCCTGTATACTCATACCCATGGCCGGCGTTTTGATATCTGGTAACAACTATAATGATTGGCTTCTTAAACGTGTTGATCATTCGACCGCGATTTCCTCGTAATTATGTGAGAAAGGAACGATTGGGCTAATGAAATGCTATATTTCGCTAACTGGTCTTCCGCATGCTTGTCAAAGACCAGAAAGTGTACATTTTTGACATGTGGAACAGCCTGTAAAAGACTTCACATTTCCATGTTGAGGAAGTCCTGTGGTCGAAGTATAATGTTTGGCCCAACGTCGATTTTCCTTATTCACATGACTACGAAAAAGCGGGACCAAATGGCGCTGAAACAAGTGGCCTACGCATTTCATTTTTTCTGTTAGCGAGATGCGCATTACAGCAAGTATTTCTTTTTTCCACCTTATTTTGAGCACTCATTGCATCGGCCTGTCATGATAGCCTTCAAATGTGGCACTCTCCCTTCCAATGTAATGTGGACAGCAGAGATGGGAGGCGTGCCTTCTGCCCCGCGGACGCATGTGTCCAGCCTGCCGCAACCGCTGTGTGCCGCACGCCTAACTGTTCTGTGGGCGCGCGATCTCGTGGGCTGTCCACGCTGCCCCCTGTGCTGCGTCATGCTCGTCAGCTTCGGCGTGCCGAATGGGAGCTTGCGCGAGCCCCGCCCCGCGGGGTCCGCCGCCGGCTGACGAGTTTTAGCGCTGTGCCGGCTCCGCTGACGACTCGCCGGCCCGCAGCTAAGTGCTCTCGGCGGCCCCATGGGCACGGGCTTGGTCCCAGGTGGGCTCGACCGCGCTCGCCTCCCGCTGTCATATGCCCAGATGCGTTCGTAACAAGGGAAAGATCGTTAAGATGCTGGATCGGTGTTTATGCCTTTGTACCTGTCGTTTGTTGACTCTCGTTTTTTATGGTGGCAGGTAGGAAGTACATAGCTGACACACAGTTAGCCGGGTGGCATTTTGTTATCGCTCATCGCATAGATGTGACTTCACGGCATACTTGTGACATTAGCGCCTTATTTCTTACGTCGTCCGGTAGCGAGTTCCAGAACTTGTCGTGTCCCAGGCTAAGTTTAAAGGTCTGAGGAACATGCCTATTTCATGAGGCGTGAAATGTGTAGATACCCTGGGACCTTCCCACGCGCATTGGCCGAGCGGGGGCTTGGGAGCCTGGCGAGGCCCGTCACCCGCGTCCGTCTCCTGACCGTCGGCCGTGACAACGCAGGTGACCTGTTCGACATGCTGCTGCCCATGCTCAGCATATATCAAGAGTACGTGCGCAACCACTACTACGGCCTGAAGGTGAGCTATCCACATATAATGCATAATGCATATGCATAATGCATAATGCATAATGCATCGCGCAGCTGACCTGTGCGGGATCAGACCTGCGCAGAAGGTGCGGACAGACGCTTCGTGTTTGCCACCCGACACCTCATTCTCCGGGGCTGGCGCTGGCTCAGTCTGCCGATTCATGCTGAAAGTTCCGTCGACATTTCCCCCGAATTTGGCTTGCGTCACCTTGTTGCGAACTATCCACACATTATGTATGCGTGTATGCAGTGACACGCTATGCAGAGGGGACACTGGGAGCACGTGCAAGTGGCGCAGCCAAGGGGGGCTCATGGGTCTTAAGCAAACCTCCCCTGGTCAGGCTCGACCGTAGATTTTCACCACAACGCCACTGGGTATACTTCCGGAATCTGGTGACCAGAAAAATATTTTGGCTTTAAATCTCACAAGCACTACCATGTTTTTCTCTTATGATTTATGATACTTCTCAGGGCTGAGTCATATTTGAGCATACAAAAAACACATTGGCTCCAAACTCACGCAAGTTGAAAACATGTGAATGGGCCAAAATGATAGCGCGTATTCTTTAATTTTTTGCATCTTTATCAGAAAGTATAAATATGCTGGCCTACTTAGTTTTTGCACGTATACGGGTCTGGGGTCAAGGTGCCTTGATGATTACAGCATCATGAGAAACGACGCATAGAGCCCAACAGCCGTAATTGAGTAGTAACACTAGCGGTTAACCTAATGAGCATGTACACTACGCAGCTAAAACAATGGTTTGAGGCACCAGGACAAACCAACATCGATAGGGGTTGATGCGTAAGGTCTGTACCTCTTAGCGTTTGTGGAGTTTGCTAGTCCGTTTTGCAGTGCGTAGGTATTCTTAATGGAGCTGAAAAGCGCTTGTACAAAAAAATAGCTCCCCTCGTCGCAAATCATGATAGACCCCTTTCACAAATTCTGGCTGCGCTCCTAATCCGCGTAATCCTTTATAAAATGCTGATGTGTATTCATTTTCATGGGAATAAATGTTGGTAATCATAAGTGATGGCTACATTCGTAAATAAGTAGTGCGTTATGTCAATGAAGTAATTTCGTAAGCCCACCGCACTCTAAAATCGAGTTTTCAGTTTTTGCATCGGATGCCTTTCTTTTGAGATATCCCGCATGTACCAGCTGTTTTGCGCGCGAGCTCTTTATGGCTATCTGGGCAGGTCAGGCGGGTCCAAGGACCTCATGATGTCGCCAAGCCCGCCCGTTAAGTGTATTGTGACTCTCAGCACCGGCCCGCAGCGACCTGTATGGCGCGGACCGACCCGTGGCCCCGCCCCTCAGGTACTCTCCGAGTGCAAGCAGAGCTCGCAATTCTCGACGTTCCTGAGCCGCTTGGAGGCCAAGTCTACCTGTCAGGGCCGCACGCTGGAAACCTTCCTCACCTACCCCATGCATCAGGTATGCTGGACTCATGTACACGATAACGTCGGGGAGGGGGGGGGGGGGGCGCTGCTCCTGACGTTTGCGCTGAACTGCAAGCAGGTGCTCTGCCATGTCGGGGTTTTATGTTCCTCAGATGTGGTACATGCTTTTCCTAGCTGAGATTAGGCGCAACATAGCTCATGTTTTCGCACCTGAGTTTGAGACAATCCCAAGTGTTAACGTTCTGACCGTATATTACTGTCCATGGTGGTCACGGTAGAAGTGCTTACGAATGTCTATGGACGGATGCCAACATCAGGATTTTCTTCTTTCAATCATGAATTACATCAGAAAATAATCAAATTTACCAATACAATCATTTGCAGTCTGATATAGCGGTGGTGAATCTCTCAATGTGTATTCGTTCCCGTCTGGCTGCTCTCAGAATTGCAAGCGAGTGGTCATACGTCCAAAGCCTGCAATGTCCGGCAGCGCTCTTTCTGCCCGTCCGGTTAACCGGCTTGCCTCGCGAGCCGTCGCCATGGCAACCGGCCACTGATTGACGAACAATTACTGGGGCCCTTTGGACTGCGACACGAGTGGCTCCCCGGCCGGACTGAAGGGCGTCGGGCTGCATTGGAGCCAGCCGGCACGTGATTAGACGGCTGCCGGCCGCGCGCCGCCGCCGCTGGCTGGCCGATCGGCTCCGTCAGCGTGCTCAGTGGGGTCTGCTCGGGCCAGGTGCGCCACCAGGCTAGTCAAACCAGGGGGGGGGGATGAGTCCGTCTATGGGAGACTCAAGCCCAGAGAAGAAAATGTGAACAGGGACACGCTTCGCTTTACCTCTCGTTCCAAAATTACAGTGACGACGCGTGGTCCACTGTTCCCCGCTCGGGTCGCGCCCCGCGTTGCAATCGTCTTCGTCCTCAATCTGTGTCGCAGATCCCGCGGTACATCGTGACGCTACACGAGCTGCTGGCGCACACGCCTCATAACCACGTGGAGCGGAGGTCTCTGGACGAGGCCCCGCAGGCAACTGGAGCACCTCAGCAGGCAGATGCAGGACGAGGTAAGATGTCAAAGGCTACAGCATCAGGGACACGACTGCGTTTTCCACTTGAGCACGTATGCATGAATAAGGTGGTGCTCGTTGCAGTTAAGTCCTTGCTTGCAGTTCAATCCCCAGTAAACACTTGAGATGATGGCGGAGTACGGAGATGATGGCTTGCCCACGTTCAGCGATGAGGCTGACACGTTACCGGCTACATTTGCGATCGGGTGTGATGAAATTGCATTTGATATAGATTGTTTGATTATCGCTAGTAGCGCATGCATGACGTACTCTGTAGGCATGATTCAAAATATGCCTAGATGATTTACTCGATAAATGCCTTATAAGATGTTCAAGGGACTCAAAACCCTATTTTAGCTAGTGCGTTGACTGATGACGTCACCATAAAAGTTAGCGAGCAAGTGTACTTCACTAGGAAGCACTTTTATTCTGCGTTTGCAGCACATCTTAGCACCAACCTGACATCTGCTGCACCCATCTGACGCCTGTCTGACATCCTCAGGTGCCCGTCTGACATCCATATGACACGTTCCAGTGACCTTCTGACGCCTGTTTGACATCCTCGCGTGCCCGTTTGACACCCGTCTGACACCTTGTGGTACCTGTTGACGCCCGTCTGACGCCTCCCGGTGCCGTCTGACGCCTGTCGACATCCGTTGGTGCCCGTCTGACGCCAGTGTGACACCCGCTGGTGCCATCTGACACCTGTTTGACACCGGCTGGTACCCATCTGACACCCGTCTGACACCCGCTGATGCCCGCTGGCAGATGAGCGAGGTGGAGTGCACTCTGCGCAGCGTAGCCATCGAGCGGAGGATGATGCAGGGCTGCGACCTGCTGTTCGACGACGTAAACCAGGTGTTGACGGCCCAGGGGCGCGCGCCGCCCGCGCGCACGCAGCGCTCTCGCTCCATCTCCGACTCTGGCGCCGGTTCAGTGTCGCTCTCGCCGTCGCCTTCCATCACCAACCAGGCGCGCTCGCTCTCCTGCTTCCACCTGGAGGCGCGCAAGGTGTCCACCTCGTTCCCGCGCGTCTCGATCGACTTCCCGCGAGACAAGAAGGAGCTCTTCCTCCGAGGACAGCGACGACCCGTGGAGCAAGGCGGGCGGCCAGCGCGAGCGCAGCCACAGCACGGTAAGCTGCCAGCCGTCGCAGGAGATCGCGGCCGCGCTGCAGCGTCACCGCCACTCCTGCCAGATCTTCGGCCGCAGCGACGACGAGGACATCCGTCGACTGAAGAGCCTGCGCAAGTGCTCGGTCGGCCCGTACCTGGCCGTGCCGTCCGTCATGATCAGCGACGTGGCCGTCTCCGTGCCGTCGTCGTCCTCCAGCCTGCGCTCCAGCATCTCCTCGCAGCCGCGCACGCCGCGCGGCAGGCGCTCCATCACGTTCTTGGACGCGGTCGTGTCGCAGCGGCTGTGAGCACGCCGATGGGACCGGCCCGTGCCCTGGGCGGTGCTACCGCTGGTCGGAGGAGTCGCTCGGCGCAACAGCTATGGGGATGCTGCCTCGCGGCGCGACGCGGGCGGATGGGGACCGGTGGCGGGGGTTAGCGTATCAGCTGTGCTGCTGTGTTTGGACAGAGCGGACAGTACGGCTGACGATGGGGATGCGCCACGGCCGCTGCCAAGGCTGTCAGGTGGTCGGCTTTCGGAGAAGCAGTGGCCGATGTGTGTATCACTGGGAGGTGACGTTGGTGCGGACCTTTTAGGCCTGGTGGCCACTTTTAGGCATGGCACCTTCTGGTGCCATGCCTCTGACGAACAAGACTTAGGTGATATCACCTTGTGCTCAGCTGGGCCATTATGGTGACCAAGGGGAGCAACAAGGAGGGAGGATGAAGCCCACAAGGCCTTTGGCCCCGAGACAAGCCCCTGGAGGGCTTCATTGTGCGTTTGAGTACTGCTCACACCTCATGAGTGACGCGAAAAAATCTGCATCTTACGGCTCCTGTTAGCTCAATGTAATCGTGTTTTTGATCGACATTGGTGTACGTACCTGGCTCAGATTTGGGCAGGTATGCATGTACCTTCCACGCTGGCTGGGCCCCTCGGCATCCGCACTTCCATTTCGCCGGGAATGTACATAAACCCATGTGACTGTTTTGTGTCATGAATGTTATGAACATCGTCCCGCGATAGGTGCCACTGCTAAAATCGGTCCTGGTTTTGGCAGGAAAAATTCAGAAAATGTACCTTGTTTTTGACTGTATGCAGATTATGGTCGACGTTCGTTATTGAAGCCGAAACGTTTGTTTTGCCTTCGTCCGTCGTTTTGCCGCGAAGCTCACTTCCATGAGGCGACTGCAGGTACGCCATGGTGAGTTTCTGGAGTGCAATGGTCTTGTCAGTAGGAAAAACAGGGAAACGACCTTGCATAACACATAACTAATGCCGAGCTGATATAGGCTAGGTCTTGACCTGATGCTATTCAAAGTTGGCAGAGTTTTTCGGGAAGGCGTTTGGCGGTCTGCTGGGGAGCCTGAAGCTCCTCATTTGTAACCGAAACCACTCACCTTGTCCATTTTCTTGATCGATTGTGGTCCCCAAAGGCTGAAACCATGTGCAAACGGCATGCACTGTTTTCCTCTGGTGCCAAGAAATAGGCATGCTGAATTTTTCGATGGTCAGGAACA